ACAACACAAAGCAATTATTTTGATCTTTCAGTTGGGTTTCAGGCTAGGATTCAATACTGAGACAGCCTTGGTGGCACGTGGATAATTCACATGGAACCGGATGGAAGGGGGACATCCGCATTTATGCTTCTTTATCTTTCAGCATCCTTCAATGCTATTGATCACAGAATCCTTTTGGATTGGCCGTGGCCATGCTGGCAATTGAAAACAATATTTTACGGCAACTCTTGTCTTTTCTTCACGATCGGTTCCAGTTGCTGTTGGCAAAGGGGAGAGAGATTATCCTCCAGGCCCCTCTTATGTGGGGGTTCTGCAGGGTTGAATGCTCCATCCCTTCCTGCATTCTTACTTTTTGATTCATTTGATTAGCCAGGGAATAGCAATCCAGCTGAGCATGCTTAAAACTTTGTGTTTAATTGGGTTACAAAAAATCTGATATTTGTTTTGTTATTGTTGTTGTTCCTGGTTATCTTTCATAAGATGATTCAGCATTTGTAGTATGTACCATTATTGGGGTATTCAGGCACAACTGGATGTTAGCTTTAAGGTTTCATGAATATTCTCTATCCCAGTGATGGCTAAACGTTTTGCTGTCATGTTCCAAAAGCAGGGGGAGTGCGGCGGGTCATGCGTGTGTGTGCACACCCATAATTCTATGCCCCCTCCCCCCCGCGCATGTGCACCCCCCTGTGCTCCCCTCGCTTTTGACACACAATGGCATGGTGGACCTGTTTTTCGCCCTCCCTAGGCTCCAGACCCTTTCTAGGAGCCTGGGGAGGGCAAAAACTGCCTTCACCACCACCACCCTGGAGGCCTACCGGAAGCCAAAACAGCCTGTTTCTTGACTTCTCGTGGATCCAGAAGGCCCAAAAATCAGCTGAGCTGAGCTCGCGTACCACCGATATGGCTCCGCGTGCCACCTGTGGCATGCGTTGCATAGGTCCTCCATTACAGCTCTATCCTGTTTCTTGTCCGCTGTTTAGAAGAGAGATTATGGTCGTCTTGTTTAGGACTTATAAAAACCATAAATGTTTACTGGTTGCTCTTCTCGTTCAACGGCAGGCAATAAATGTCTAATCTGTTGTTGCGCTTAGAACTGAATTTGGCTCGTTTCCTCCCATTGTTTTAAAGTACAAAATGTTCTCCCCTTTGTTAAAAAATGAAAACTATCCATTTATTCATTCTCACTTGTCTTTGTTTTCTTACAGTATTTATTTTATTGCAGAGAATCTAAGTAAAAAAAATTCTGAAACTATGTGGCAGGGCTAATCCTGAAATAGTCCTGTATCAATTCAAATAAAATTGTCTGGACCTCATGGGAATGGACTCAGATGCAGTAGGCCAAGGAATTATTATTATTTTTGTCCTTTTGCAATTCTGTTGAAATCAGTGCTCCCACTTTGACCCAGTCTATATCATATGCAAATCGAGAGGTTGAATAATAGGACAATTTTAAGTGACATTTACCAAAGGGGCTTTACCCCATCAAAAAGCTCGTGCTTGTGCATCTCTGCCCCAGATCTCCTGCTAAGTCATGGAGTCCAAAGTAGATTTAAAGGTTGAAGATACTGTTCTAAATAATTAGGTGGTTAGTCATTTAGTTCAACTTTGAAACATTTGATTAAAAATAGCAAAATCTTGTGTGTGCCCTTTTATGACAATAAAGGAAATGTGAGCTCATAAAAATGATTATCATTGTAATAGCTAATTTCTCAATAAAGTATCATTGCAGTTTAGCTGGAAAAAAAACTGTTCAATTTCTACCGAAAACTTCTGTTCAGACTTTAGACAGTAAGTTTGTCACCTTTATATATAATGCAGGAGTGAAAGGTATTTAGGATAATGTGCAAGAATTTCAACATTAATGTTTATGGTATCTTAAGTATTAAGTATGGCATTTTGTCACTTGGTCCCTGGTGCCAAAAAGATTGGGGACCACTGATATAGTAGATTTAACAGTTGTTTTGAATAATTTGAATTCTTAAGTCAACAACACAACATCACCAGCACATAAAATGAAGTAGTTTATATTCACATCCCCAAACAACATACCTCCAGCATGACACAAGTATTATTTACATGTTTATCCATAAATACATAAAATAACCAAGGGACCATTACACACCTTGTTTTTCCCCCTACTGAGCCATTAGGGTATGCCATTTCTTCCCATGTATGCTCTACTTCCAACATGCTTATCTTATTCAGCAAACAAAGGTAATCTCCACATTCTCACTTAACACTTAATAATTCTAACATGCAGTATCAAAAACTTTCTTTAAATCAACAATGATTAAGAAAAGAGGTTTGAAAACTTTGTTATTAAACATAATTATTTTTTTAAAATTTTGAATGTGTTATAAAGGAATAATGTGATTGGATGATATTGAAAATAGATAAGGGAATGCCGCTATGTGGTTTTGTTTTAAATTTTGGAATGTTTGTTATAAAGGGATGTTAAAACAACTATAGTCATATGAAGGATGAGGTATGATGATAACAATACAATATAATACAATAGCAGAGTTGGAAGGGTCATTGGAGGTCTTTTAGTCCAACCCCCTGCCTAGGCAGGAAACCCTATACCATTTCAGACAAATGGCTTTCCAACATCTTCTTAAAAACTTCCAGGGTTGGAACATTCACAACTTCTGGAGGCAAGCTGTTCCACTGATTCATTGTTCTAACTGTCAGGAAATTTCTCCTCAATTATATATAAATATATGGGATGTAAAGTAGATAATTTGATATGAATTAGAGGTGATGACGGTGGAAGAGATGCACGAAAACTCTGTGTAACCAATTGACACGCTTTCTACAACTTTGTAATGGAGGATGATTTTATTTGTTTTTATTTAAAAAATTAAAAAAATTGGGGAAAAAAACAGATGTGCAAGAAACTTTCTCAATACTTTCAGTGACTTGCTAAAGAGCAAAAAAATCTGTGTAGTCCTTGCTATGTTGCACTTCCCAACTTCTGCTCGCTGACAGCTCTCCTACCTGTCAATCAAAATTATGCCATTTACCTTAAAACAGGAATGGCTCCCTTATATACTACATAGTGCTTTTCTAAAATGTATATAGAGTCCTCAACTTATAACCATTGATTTAGTGACCATTCAAGGGCACTTACGGTTGATCTTCACCATTCCTACCATTGCAGCATCTCCCCAGTGGCATGATTAAAATTTTGGCACTTGGCAACTGGCATGCATGTATGTGTCCTGACAGTTGCAACATTCCAGAGACATATGATCACCATTTCTGACCTTTCTGTCTGGCTTCTGACAGCAAAATCAATGGGGAGAGCTGGATTTGCTTAACAATTACACAATTCACTTAACAACTATAGCGATTCATTTTACAACTATGTCAAAAATCCATTCCAACTTCCCTTATATTATTATTCATTTTTATAAAAATGTGTTAAAAGCTTAAATTTAAAAAAAAATCTTCCAAATACTTTTAGAGATATAGTTAACAGATTAACCCACCTATGGGTTTTTTTACTTGTTTATTTTTGCTACATTTCCCTATTTTATAGGGAAATAATATATTCTTCCAATAATTAAGGACACACTTTACATGTTATACAAGTTGCACAGATGCTCCACAAGGAAAGCACATTCCTATGTTTTTTTTTTTTATTAAATGTTTTTTAGTTTTAGTTTAAAACTGGTACAACATCTTTCTTAATATATCAA